GGAATGTGGTTATTTTCTCTTCTACATTATCAAAGTAAATGTTGATCCTTTTAAAAAAGCAAAAAAGAAAGTTCAGATCACTAGATTGGCTATTCTGTCTGTCAGGTCTGTGTAAATCTCAGGACTGGATAGACAGAATTCCAAATCCTTTGGAAGCTAAAATGGCTCCCGGTATGGAAGAGGTAGAATTTGTAAGTCAGAACAAAAGAAAAGAGTTTATTTCTATGCAGCTCATGTACAATTGGAAAGGTTTTTCCAGGGAATGTGGTTATTTTCTCTTTTACATTATCAAAGTAAATGTTGATCCTTTTAAAAAAGCAAAGAAGAAAGTTCAGATCACTAGATTGGCTATTCTGTCTGTCAGGTCTGTGTAAATCTCAGGACTGGATAGACAGAATTCCAAATCCTTTGGAAGCTAAAATGGCTCCCGGTATGGAAGAGGTAGAATTTGTAAGTCAGAACAAAAGAAAAGAGTTTATTTCTATGCAGCTCATGTACAATTGGAAAGGTTTTTTTCCAAGGAATGTGGTTATTTTCTCATCTACATTATCAAAGTAAATGTTGATCCTTTTAACAACCACCATATGCTGCTTTGTGCTCTTATTAATACCCGTCAAAGCAATAAAACTAAACATAAACATATGATTCATCCAAAATATAAAGTACTAAAGAAAAAGTCTGAATTATCAGTCTTACATACAAACATGTACTTGTTCTGTAATACTTTTCCTCCTAACAAAGACATGAAGGGCATCATATATAAACAGAGTTGATTGGCCCTGGATGGGGTTGATAAGAATGTCTCACACTTACAGACATTTCAGCCTGAGTCACAGTAGATACAAATCTCAGGAAATGTCAAATACACTAAAGAATCAGCTTAGAGCAAAAAAAGCGATAGCTCAAACAGGGGCTTCATATGTCTAAAAGTAAAACTATGCTAGAAAGATTTTAGTTGCAGTTTAGATACTCTGGGCTACATGGACACCTGTAACACCTTGTACATGAAACATGCTATGCTTAAATGTAACAATTTAAAATGGTTCTAAAGCCTTAAGTTTTTTTTTTGCCTTACTGTATTCTCTGCATTAAGGTAAACAACCTACTGTGTCCAAGATACGCCCCCCCCGCCCCCCATACTTACCTGAGCCCAAGCCCGATCCAACAATGTATCTGTAGTAGCTCTCTCCGCTCTCTTCCTCCTCTCCCTCCTCACCCAGGGCCATCTTAATGCATGGGCACCCCTGGGAACTGCCCCAGATGCAGGAGGGCCCCATAATAATTCTGCATTACATCCTACCTGCCAATTGTCCCGGATTTGCCGGAATAGTTATTTTTTATATTAAACTGTCCCGATGGCCTTGTCACAAGCAGCATCCTGGAATCTGGGCTATTCGGACAGCAGCAGCCTGTCACTTGGCTAAATCTACAATTGGAATTACATCTCTCTCCCATACTGTTCCTGCTGCACTATGCCCCTGCTCCCCCCCCCCCCCCCCGTACTGTGCCCTTTGTGTTGATTAGTCTTTGATTTATGGAATGTTTTCTTATTGTTTTAAATCGATTTTATTGAAGGTAATAAGAAATATATGTTTAAATCTGTCAACAATTTTCACTTTAATTCTTGAGAGTAGGTGCGTAAATCTAGGCAAGTTGGTAGAGGGCCCAGTGCATTACATTGCCCAGGGGCCCATGATGTTATTAAGACGGTCCTACGCCTCACAGGGTGGATTGATAGCAGCAGGAACCATTGTCTCCTGCTCATGTCAATCAAATCCTATGATGAGAGGGCAGGGCAAAGCTTTGCTGTCTATGTCTATGGATGCAGGCAGTGAGGTTCTGGAGCAAGCCACATGAATACCCCCCTTAGCAAGTATCTTGCTAGGTGGAAGGGGGGTACCCAGAAGAGGGGAGGATCCAGGAGCACTGACAAAGAGGAGAGGAGGATCAGGGATGCTCTGTGCAAAACCACTGCACAGAGCAGGTAAGTATAGACATGTTTATTTAAAAAAAAAATCAAAACATCAACACAACTTTGTTGAAAGTGAAATTTCACATGAAATACTTTTTATTTTTTATTATTATTATTATTTATTATTATTATTATTATTATATACAGTATTTATATAGCGCCAACAGTTTGCGCAGCACTTTACAAAATGAAAGTAGACTTTATAGTTACAATACTATTTGGTACAAGAGGAAATAGAGGGCCCTGCTCGTTAGAGCTTGCATACTAGGAATTAATTTTATTGGATACTAAAGAGAAAAGTTGCAATTTGTCAAGCTTGGAATATTGTATGTGCCCCTGTTAGCAATATTTTAGCTCACTTCTTTTTCTAGTGACCACAAAAGAACATTTCCACCAAAGGGGGCGCATATAACAGTGAAAGTATGACAGAGGTTCTAACTGTTGCCAAATTCTAAAGGTGCTTTTATTGTGGTCTGCAGAAAACCACAAAGGCTGGCAGATATTGCAGTCTCTTTTCACTTTCAACAAGTTTTCATTAGTCTAAAATATCACAACCGTGTGAGTGATTAATTTTTATTTTTATTTCAGGTACTTATATAGTGCCGACAATTTTACGCAGTGCTTTACATATATATTGTACATTCACATCAGTCCCTAACCTCAAGGAGCGTAGAATTTAAAGTCCATAACTTACATTCATCCATACAGTGAGGAACAGAAGTATTTGAACACCCTGCGATTTTGCAAGTTCTCCCCACTTAGAAATCATGGAGGGGTCTGAAATTCACATTGTAGGTGCATTCCCACTCTGAGAGACAGAATTGAAAAAAAAATTAAGAAAATCACATTGTATGATTTTTAAAGAATTTATTTGTCTTGCACTGCTGAACATAAGTATTTGAACATCTAAGAAACAGCAAGAATTCTGGCTCTCAAAGACCTGTTACTGTCCAGGCCTGTCTGAAGTTTGCCAATGACCATCTGGATGATCCAGAGGAGGCATGGGAAAAAGTCATGTGGTCATATGAGACCAAAGTAGAACTTTTTCTTCACTGTCGTGTTTGGAGGAAAAAGAAGGATGAGTTGCATCCCAAGAACACCATCCCTACTGTGAAGCATGGGGGTGGTAACATCATGCTTTGGGGGTGCTTTTCTGCGAAGGGGACAGGACGACTGCACTGTATTAAAGAGAGGATGAATGGGGCCATTTATTCTGAGATTTTGAGCAACAACCTCCTTCCCTCAGTCAGAGCATTGAGGATGGGTCGTGGCTGGGTCTTCCAACATGACAACGACCCGAAGCACACAGCCAGGAGAACCAAGGAGTGGCTCCATAAGAAGCATATCAAGGTTCTGGAGTGGCCTAGCCAGTCTCCAGACCTAAATCCAATATAACATCTTTGGAGGGAGCTGAAACTCCGTGTTGCTCAGCGACAGCCCCGAAACCTGACAGATCTAGAGGAGATCTGTGTGTGGAGGAGTGGGCCAAAATCCCTGTTGCAGTGTGTGCAAACCTGGTCAAGAACTACAGGAAACGTTTGTCCTCTGTAATTGCAAACAAAGGCTTCTGTACCAAATATGAACACTGATTTTCTCAGGTGTTCAAATACTTATATTCAGCAGTGCAAGACAAATAAATTCTTTAAAAATCATACAATGTAATTTCCTGAATTTTTTTTTTAATTCTGTCTCTCAGAGTGGGAATGCACCTACAATGTGAATTTCAGACCCCTCCATGATTTCTAAGTGGGAGAACTTGCAAAATCGCAGGGTGTTCAAATACTTCTGTTCCTCACTGTACACATACTAGGGCCAATTTGGAAAGGAGCCAATTCACCTATCAGCATGTCTTTGGAGTGTAGGAGGAAACCAGAGTACCCTGAGGAAACCCACGCAGTCACAGGGAGAACATGCACGCTCCAGGCAGGTGGTGCTATGGTTGGAATTATTGGTTATTGAACAAGCTTTGCACAGTATAATTATAAATAATGCTTACAGTCATATAAAGTATTTCATGAATGGTAAGAAAACTGTAATGGTGTTGGTACCCTAAGAAGTTCAGCTGTGTGTTGAGCACCTTTCCTTAAGCCTGGTTCACACCTGTGAGTTTTGCAGCACATAAAAATGCATGTGTCGTGAAAATACATTGCGTCCAATGAGGCCGTTCACATTTGCATGCTGTAAAATATTATCTATGTCCAATTTTGCAAGAATTTATCTGGCTTTTCTGGCTTATTGAAGTTTCCGAAAGTACAAGCAAATTTAGATATTGTGCATTTTTTCATGCATTTTCAAATTGTTTTGCGCAAGCACACAACTTGTCATCCCAAAGTTACAAGCACCTCACCGTGGATATCCGCCACGTGCTAAACCACAGTGAAGACTGCGACAGTGTAAAATTAGCCACGTTTCCTTAACCCCATATACTGAAAACAAGGGAGCACATTCCCTCATGATGTCACTGCAGGAAAAACATCCTCATTGGTTAACAAAAAAATTACAACGCATGAAAATGCAGGTAAAACGCACTAAAATGCGCAAAAACAAAAGGCAAAAAAAATGCATTACAGCGGGAACAGAAAGATATGAACAAGGCCTTAGAACCTAATGACAGATGATATTTGAGGTTTGCCCTAGGCGAATCCCCTCAAGCCAAAATAAACTGCACATAGTGAGACATAATGGCATGTGTCTGCTTCTAGAATAAATTAGGTCATCTCAGCAAAGGTTCTTTCAGTGAACAAAGCAACGCTAGGTTACATGCAGCAATATATATCCTGCCCTAATTATAGGAAATCAAGCTGCTGAATGGTTGTTAAGGATTATAAATAGTTCTTTAAATATTTGAAGTCAGTCTAACTAGTGTGTAAAAGTGGGTGGATTATGGAATCCTCAAAGTGCATGTAAACCCCAACAATAAACTTCTTTTAATTGCTCTCTTTTGGTCTATTAGATCTCGTTCACATGGGGCGTAATACAGCGTAGGCCCATGCGAGGCAGTGTTTACCCCCACAGGGATGCACAGGAGTTCCATGCATCCCCATGCAGACAGTCCCAGCCAGGGGCAGACTGACCATTTGGAAACTCGGGCACTGCTCGAGGGCCCGGGGTCAGTAGGGGGACCCATGAGATGCCCCTGGTACCTTTTTCATGGGCTTTTTTGAGTTTGGGCAAGGACACAGTGGCCCCATGATCCCCTATTGCCCGGGGGCCCCATGAGTTGTCAGTCCGTCCCTGGTCCCAGCGATGTCATTTTGGGATGCAGCAGCTGCACATACTCAAACCCTGCTCCCAATTTGACATCTGTGCAGATAGTGTGGGTTCGGGGACCACACGGATGTCAAATTCAAGCACCGTCTGTGGCCATCCAACCGCTGCATCCCAATGCATGAATGGGACTGCCTGCATGGAACTCCTGTGCATCCCCATGTGGGTAAACACTGCCTCCTGTGGGCAAGCGTTTTGGTACTTCCCATGTGAACAAGGACTTAAAATGTTGCTAAACCCCGGATCCTGCATTCACTATATCTGGTCCCCCACAGTACACATAACATGGGAATGCAAATATTTTATAAAAACTGCTAAATAACTTTTCTTATCAGCAGTTAGAGAAGTCTTGTGACTTCTATCAGTGTCCAACTGAGCACTGGTTATTCTTGTAGGTGGAGTTTTCATTCTGCTCTGATTGTCCTATGAGGCTTCATAACCCCTGACCCTCTGTCTGGACAGTGCTGATTGGCTCTGTGCTGATCACATTCACCCTCCCAAAGAAAAAAAAAGAAGCTCTTTAGCCACACACTAAACTGAGCATGTACATGGTGACTCCTAGAGCTCTGTGCTATCAGCAGATGGATGAAAGATAGCAGAAGAAGGGGAGGATCAGAGAAGACAGGACCAAACAGCCTTTTTACACAATGTGGAGGATTAACCCCTTAGGTTCCAAAGTGAATATAACGAGCATGCTTTACTGCATTTACAGACTGATTTTACTATTGTGGGCTTAGTAACACTGTAAATAGACAATTGAAAGCATTTGTTTGAAAAGTTTGAAAAAAAATATCCTTTGATAGTGGATATTTTTTTCCACTTGACTTTTGGCGTTGTTCCTGCCAAAAAACTTGTAAGCTGATCAGGGGTGGACTGACAACTCATGGGGCCCCCGGGCAATAGGGGATCATGGGGCCCCTGTGTCCTTGCCCAAACTCAAAAAAGCCTATGAAAAAGGTACCAGGGGCATCTCATGGGGCCCCCTACTGACCCCGGGCCCTCGGGCAGTGCCTGAGTTTACAAATGGTCAGTCCGCCCCTGAAGCTGATCACTCCTTGCCTTTGCTGCACTGAAATCTCAAGTAGTGTTATCAGCCCATCCCTCTGTGAATTACAGAACACTTCCCCTATAGGGTATGGAGACAGGAGTACTCTGGGGTCCTAGTCAGGATTAAGCATACTAGGGTGACAATGCTGCATAGCTATAGTACATCGAATGAGCATTGACACTCCAGGACAGAAAGTTTCTTACTGGCAGGACCACCAGATGAAAATAAAGAAGAATAGCCTGAATAAAAGAAAACCAATGCAGCCACCACATCTAAGGACTGGTACACTGCAATATATTACATTCTTGTTCTTCAATATGTGGAGATCTGAATACCTAAATATGGAACCTTTCCTGGAAGTGTTTATTGCTCTCTAATATGTACCACTTACATATAACTAAATGCTAATAGGCTTTAAGGCAATGGTATCTGAAATCCAAAAGTCCCATGGTCCCAGCCTTGCTCAGTAAGCCTACCATATCACTATCTAATGTAGCATTTTTCTGTGGACTGCCAGCACCTTATTAGACAGTAAGATATCAAGGGCATGCCAGAACTCCAAAACCAAGGTCTTTAGCCGGCTATACATGGATCAAAATTCAGCCTGTTCAGCAGGGACTGGCCAAATTTTGGTCCATGTATGGCCAGGAAGGTTGTACAGAAGCCGATCAGTAGATCCGTGCCACAGCTCCAAAGCCAAGGTCTTTAGCCAGCTAAATATAGATCAAAATGTGGGCGGTTTTATCAAGGACCTGACAAATTTCAATCCTTGTATGGCCTGGGAGGTTGTACGGAAGTCAGTTTACTGATAGACTTCTGTACAACTGCTCTGTCAAATTTTCCCTGCTTGATCAGCGCTGTGGGTTACCACTGGCAGTGCTGATCAGTGTATACTGAAGACAGGAAAGTCTCCCCTCAGTCAGTGGGGAGGATTCCTCCATCCACATTGAATGTATGGAGGGGGGAATTGAGTCCATTTTTTTCACTCAACCTTCTGGCTGAATGAAAAAACTGACCTACATATGGTCTGCCTTGGTTTTATTTACCATGGTTATCCTTGACACCTTGTGGTGCCTTTTGATATGCAGATTAAAACACTACATGCAATGACAGGGTCTCTTTATTCAACTTGACACAGTGGGATAAAACAGCAATCAGATAGCCTATATAATACCAGAGTGTTGCAAATTACCCTTGAGCTGAGAATACCAGTATTGATTAAACTGTTATATTATTTCCTAATAATAATCTTCTTTACACGGTAACATCTTTCTTTTTATGACATTTGTACCAAGTATGGTGATATTGGCTGTAATAACTGTTTTTGGAACACAAGCATGAAGAGTTGCATAAAAAAAAACTTTTTGATGACAGAATGAAACTGACTTCATTAAAGCAAAGTAATCAATGCTATTGTTTCATTCTATACAGCTCATCAATGCAAAATGAACATGTGTCTCAAAAGCTATAGTATGCGTTACGCACTGATATACATTACAAACGTTTCTTATAGAAAGCACATTAGATTTGCCAAAGCATTTTGCTCTAGAGCTCAATTTCATCCAATTTTCTCCTAGAGGCCTAACTATAAATGATCAGACCTCATTGCAGAAGCATGATTGTGTCCTCAGATTTTTTATTCAATGCTGGCATTCTCATACTAACTTACCAAGGTAAGAACTACTTCAAGAAATATCTAAATCCAAATTTTTTACATTTTTTTTTTTTTTTAATGGAGTGTGGAAAGTTTGAAAGACCTATCAGGTTTTTATTTCTGTCTATTGTCCTGGTGGCAATGCTCACCACACTCCTCCACATGTGCTTCTCACATCAATCCCTGTGCTATGGTGCCTTACCCATGATTACGGGATGAAGGAGTACACACATACGGAAATGTATTCACCTACCTACCCCTGAAAGAGCAAGCAAAGTCGTTTAAGTGAAAGCACAACTCCAGCCAAAAATAACATGTTAAAAAGAAATAGTCCATTAAAAGATAAATAAACCCAGCTTTTGCGGTACTATTCAACTTCAATTCAGAGATTTCTCCTGCAGTGCTATTTTTCTACTGCTAGATGTCCTCAGTGTGATGGACAGCATCATTCCGTCCACTTCCATGGAGCCCATGTTGTCCTGGAAATGCGTGTGACTGCACAGTGAAAGGAGAAGCAGCACAGTGATGAGCTCTTTCTCCATCACTCTTCTCTTATCAGCATCCTTTTTGTCGGAACATGAACTGATCGGCTCCATATACTGCTTACATATTCTTCCTCTCACACTCCAGCTCTGTTATGCAGGGTCTGCAAGCGGCTGATACCAGGTCACATTATTATTATTATACAGGATTTATATAGCGCCAACAGTTTGCTGAGCGCTTTAACAATATAAAGGGAGGCAATACAGCAACAATACAGTTCAATACAAGAGGGTCAGGGGGGTCCTGCTCCTTGGAGTGTCACATTCAGGTACTTGCACTGCTTACATTTAAAAAATACATTTAATAATGTATTATTGGCTACAGAGCTGCATTTATTTGCGCCTTTATAATTGCATAGAGTTCAGCTTTAGACATCTTCAACCCAATATAAAAAAATGCCAATATGTACTTTTACGTATTCCCTGTGTATAACTTTGCAATTTAATACAACACTCCAGGTACAGAGGGACCTATATAAAAGCTAAGGTTATGTAAATGAACTGAGTAGTAATTAGTGTTTGCCCAGTAACAATCATTTTTATTGAAGTTTCAAAAAAGATATTTCTTTATACAAGGTGGTATACCTTGTATAAAGAAAAATCTTTTTTTTAATCTTCAATAAAAATGATTGTTACTGGGCAAACACTAATTACCACTCAGTTCATTTACATAACCTTAGCTTTTATATATATCCCTCTATGCTCTCAGTAACCATTAATATATTATTTATAATGATATTCTTATGCATAACATCACCCTTCACACCTCCTCAATTATAAAACAACACATATTGTATGCGGAGGATATACCGGTAATTCCTTTGCAGACACAGTACTGACATACTGTATATATTATATATGGATATATACAGTACAGCCGCTTGAGCTCTGGAAGATCTTACCCCCTTCATGACCAGGCCATTCTCTGCTATATAGCACTGCTCTACTTTTACTGACAATTGTGCAGTCATGCAACACTGTAACCAAATTAAATTTCTATCATTTTTTTCACTCAGATAGAGCTTTCTTTTGGTGGTATTTGATCACCACTGGGTTTTTTTATTTTTTATTATATAAATGAAAAAAGACCGTAAATTTTGAAAAAAAAGCAATATTTTTTTACTTTCTGCTATAAAACATATTCAATGAAAAAAATTAAAAAAATAAAATGTCTTCATAAATGTAAGCCACAATGTATACTGCTGCATATTTTTGGTAAAAAAAATTCGAAATAAGTGTACATTAATTGGTTTGTGTGAAAGTTATAGCATCTGCAAACAATGGTATATATTCTGGATTTTGTATTTATTTATTGTTTATACTATTGATGGCGGAGATCAGTAACTTTTAGTGAGACTGTGATAGTGCGCCGGGTAATCTGACACTAACTGAGACTTGGGGGGGTGGGGAACTGACTAACTGTCACTGACATCTCCAGTGACACTAATACAGTGATCAGTGCTAATACTATATACACTGTCACTGTACTAATGACACTGGCTGGGAAGGGGTTAACATCTAAGGGCAAGCAAGAGGTTAATTGTGTGTCTAACAGTGTGTTAATGAGTGTACTGTGTGCTGTTGTTTGCTTAAAATCAATTTGTTTCTTTTCCCTGCTTAGCAGGGAAAAGAAACAAAGCAACTGTTCCCTCTGTATAGAGCCTTGTGTTGTGTATCATGTTTATCATGGGTATGTTGCTTCCAGGGGCGGACTGACAACTCATGG